CTTCTCGATATTCCTGAAATCCTTCGTGTCTTTACTCAACAGTCATCACTTTTCGTCAGGTGAGCAGTCAGCTTTTAATTCTGGTTGTATAACAAATAGTACAGTTACAATTTTTTTTTTATTATAATATCTTTGTAACTTGACAGAACTCTAGGGGAAACGAATCTATTAACGATAATAGTGATATATTTTTTTTAATATTAAATATATATATATATATATATATATATATATATATATAAATTAATTAAATATATATATATTTAAATGCATAACACCTTAGCAGTGAAGAACGCCATAGGTTCCAGGGCAGTATGGACGGCGATGTGTATACTATACATGTATACATATGTATTTTTCGATATACCTGGTTACCTTTATGTCTTTAGACTACAGTTATCATTTTCCAGCAGGCGAGTAATCAACTTTAATTGCATTTTTTGTTGTATAAAAAAATGGTTGATCAAGTTACAAATTTATTAATATGTATATGTATTTAATGTACTGTAAAATAATTGTTATATTACTATTCTATATTTTGTATCGAACGTGTACGTCAGAACTTGAAAGTTTTCACAATATTTCTTTACCTAGAGAGAAAATTTGTAATAGACAAAAAAGTATCTTTACTAAATATTTTGCTTTCAAGCAAACAATCCATATTATAGTTTAAAGTAAAAAGTTTTTGAAAATGCGCCTTATATTAATTATGTTATTTCGATATTCTGACAGTGCTCTAGGGTGAATTGAGTGAAATCTTTCACTGATAATAGTGAGCATTATATTTTGTTGATATTAAACAAATATGTATGGATGCATGACACTTTGGCGCTCAAGATTGGCAAGTCATACGGGGTACCATGGACATCGTAGATACACTGTGTATACGTATGTAAGTGTATCTCGCGTTGCGCATGGTATTCTTTATGTCTAGACGACAGTTAGCACTTTCCATTATGTAAGCGGCCTGCTGATATTTCCGGTGGTATGATTTTATTTAATTTTGACTTAAAAGTATCTGCTTGCGCCTTCAGTTCTCACTGCATATCACATAAAAGGTCTAGCTTGAAAATAAACAATTATCACATCATCTTAATATAGAAAATTTCAGCATTTCGATGTTTATCTACTCTTATCTCCTAAACAGCCGAGTTTTTTTAAACAAAATTTGTAAATATGCATTGTTTGTTCCAACTTGAGAGATAGAATATTTCTTTTTTCGATAAGAAGGAATTAAATCGGTAGGTGATGATAGGGGTGAAAAGTAGACCGCTTCTAGATGTCGCGTTCAAATCAAACATACCTACATCTGTTCTCAGTTAGGCCTTCAGGAACAGAACAATGAAAATCTCATTCAATTTGGTACAGTAGTTCTTGCATGATACCTAAACAAAGATTCAAACAGACTGCTAGATGGAAAAAATATCAAAAAATTATTGTTTTGGCTTTTATTGTTCCTGTTAAAATCCCTTTCGTCTTGTTTTAAATATGTTGTTTATATAAAGTACTATTAATATTTGCTTTTATCTGCTTTAAGTCGTTTTCGACTTCTAGTTTTTAAAGATCTCCAAAAGGAACAAATCCTCATTTCATTAATATTTTTTGTGTCAAATTTATATATTTACAATTTAATTTGTTTACAAAACATAATATCATTTTTTCATGTCTACATTGATCATGTCTACATCTACAGGCGATAGTTGTTTTCCATTAGACAGACCGTTTGCTATTCCCAAAGGCACAGAACATGTAAATAACGTCACCACAGCAATGTATGTTGTGTACGTATTTACGAAATGAAATTGAATTATATAAATCAGTTGTGTGGTATATCCATAACAAACTACTTGTTTTACAAATCGATGGAACTATATGTCCAGTGATATTTATTTTAAACTTGTACAGCGGTCCGTAAACACAATAGAGGTAACAAACGAGTAACAGCAACATTTCGTTTATAGCTCTTCTTGCATATGCTGAATGCCTCAGAGAATGAAGTGGATGTACAGCGGGCCTCAGCGAAGATGTCAAGCTAGAGTTCGAAGCAGACAACGAGGAAGTGTCTGAGGACTACAGTACATGATTTTTTTAAGGTATGACTGAATTTTTAACATTTACTTCACCTAAATCTGCCCATCTGAATGCCATTACTTTCCTTTGAAATATAGTATTGAATTTAGAGAGAAAAAATATTAATATCACTTAGGTATCAAGTGTATGATATTGTTGATTTTCATTTCACCATCTGTTTTATTCGTATTATATCAATAAGTATTTATAGTTGTTATTTGTAACGTAGGTATATACTATATTAATTAGTATACCAACCTAAAACTCGGATATATCTTCATAAAACTAAAAGACACTGTTTAATTAGCGCCATCTTTTAAGTACATCCCAAATTAAGTATACGAGAGGGCGATACTCTGAATATCAAAATTCATTTTATAGATGTCACTTTGGAGGTTTATAAAGACAATAAGAACGCCATCTAGTGTACTATATTTGTCCATAGCAGTCTTAGTTATTAGAAATTCGGGTAATTTTGCCCCTAATGACGATTGAATGAGAATCGACATAAATTATCAAATTTAAATTATCTTTTTTCAAATAGACTTGTTTACAAGCACTTTTAAATCGTAATTTTTTTTTAATCAACTATTTAAAATTTTAGTTATATAAAAAAAGCTGTTTTGACGCCGTAGAAACGGCTGCTCGCGTAATCCTGGAATGTGAAGCTGTAGTCCCTCAACGTTCATAAGTCCTCGGAACCGTGAGGTCGCACCGTAGGGCCTATAAAGATCTCAAGAACTTTCTGTGTTTCTGGACGGAGCTGGGCTGGCTGTACTAGCCACGAATAACATCCATAGCGGCCCAAATGAGAGACTTAGAGCGGAGAAAAAATTAAATTTACATTATATTACTGGTAGCATTTTTATCGTAACGTTTTGTTTGATGATATCATTTTTTGTTACTGCATGCATGAAATAGCTACGTCTGATAGGTGTTCTATTCTTTTTCGTGTTTCCCTTGTTTTAGTGCTAAATCTATGCAGTGTAGAGGTGTCTGCGTTTTTCCTAGTAATTTTGTTGTTTTATTTTAAAGACCTATCCGAGATAATGTAGATATTGTTTTGTTTTTAACTGGATACCTTACGCCATAAATTTCATGTTTAATTGGATTTTAAAATAATTTTAATTCGTCGTAAATTCTTTATAAGATGTCTGAAAACGTTATTTAGTTCTTTTAATCAATTAACAACGTTTTAAATAATTAAATTATTAGATAAGATCCGGAAATGATCAAAAAGTGACGTTCATTCAAGAGTTCCAGGCATTACCATGTACCTAGGTAGTATCTCACTTCGCGTTTGTAATTTTGAAATATAAAATTTTAATTAATATGGATGTATAAAATGGATTTATATAATTTTTGTTTTTTTTTTGTGTTTAAATTTTAGAGTCTAATCTACTTTGTTTATCCATAGGTACAGCCATGAGCGAAACATCTGCCGTAAGTTACCAACATAGAATTCTGCCAGTCTCTTTTCTACTATTAATAATAGTGTTATATACACAAAAAATGTGAAATTATTTATTTATTTTTTTATTTTGTTTAAAGATATTATTTATATTTCATGTTCACCATAGTTAGAAGAACTGTATTGTTTTTTAAGAAGTTTTATCAAGTATTTCTTGAGTGTACTAAAAATTAGGTAACCGCGGTCTTAGTCTCCAAGATACAAGTCTGACCTAGTTTGAGGTCTGAGGTAATGCAGAATTTTAATAATGTAACTTGACAAAGTTCTGATATATGTTAAGTGTACTTAGATCTTTTTAGGCTATGTTCAATAGCGGATATAAACAGTTTCTTTGTTTCTTATACGACTGTGATATACATCTTTTATACAGAAATATTTATTATACAGCAAATGTTTACAGTCGATGTTTGTAAAACAAAATAAGTAATATATTAATAATAAATAATAAGCATCAAAATAAGTTTTATTTACAAATTTAGTTTAGTGATATTCGGTGAATATGAATAGGTATTTGTAGTCGTCGCATTACTAATGAAATATTTGTATAATTTGTATAAACGTGTTGATTTCACATTTAATTATCTACTAAGAATTAATAAATTTGTAAAAATGTTATGTATTGTTTTCTTTTTGTCACTCCTTTAATAACTAAGATGGATAAAGTGTCTCGTAGGTATGTAGTCTATCGTGTCGCCTTAAGTTATTTTCTAAAGTCTAAATGTTATTACTTGCGACTCTAAATCATTATCATAGGCGTACTTAAGAGATTGAAAGGGAGCGAGTAAGCTTACCTGTTCCACCCCAGAATTATGTAGTTTTGAGTGGGTTAGAATGGAAGGATAGCCCTGCCTGCGTTATTGGTATACACTGGCCGGGTACCAGTAAGTGCTGATAGGTGAAGATGAAAGCAGGTCAGTTAGCCTATCCTGCGAATTCCACAAGAATTATTCGTGATGGTTTCCAAAGGAACTGTTATGATGGTTGACTTGACAGGTTATATTGCTAGTATAAAAACTGTTAAATTCAATTACTCACAACCTGTTTCCCCTAAGAATTGTCTAGTATCCACCCAAGAATGCGAGCAAATTCTTTAACTACACAGCAGAATATTTAATACGCCTTTTTTAAGGGGGCGTGCTAAATGCATTCATCTGTCTACTAAAATCATTAACTTCATTGCGTTCAGATAAAACAGACAAACAGAATGCCTAGTGTGAATAGTACAGAAATTTACGTTACGACCGCCTTAACACTTACGACCATAAGTTTGTATAGGAATCTGAATTTCCTATATTATCTATTATAGGCATGGCTAAGTTTTCAATACAAGATATTGAGATCAACGTGAACGTAGTAATGTAAACCTTTATGTAACCTACACTAGCTTTTCAGAGAAAATTAGGTAAGTAGGTAGGTACAATAAAAAAACATGGAAACATTTAAACAATAAGATCTCGTTATTCTTTTAATTTACATATACATCAATTTTATAATATTACGTGTCTAAGTATACAATGTACTACCTTATACACGTCTAAACGAAACACAGTGTAAGGAACAACCAGTGGTCCAACATCATAGTATGTCTCGAACCAACAAATGACAGTAGGGGGCATATAACTCCCCATTGGACAACTGGTAGAAAAAAGTTCTTTAGACTGTGATATCAGTATAGTTAGGGGAAAGAAAGTACTCACAAGCCATCTGACTAGAAATTTTCGTGTTCTATTATCTATTTATTATAAAATTCACAACGCAAAAGGTTATTGCTTATAGATTTACCTATATTTGCAAATAAAACATAAATATTATAAAAAAAATAACAATAAGTTATACCAGTTTGATTGAATAATATGCAACTGAAAATGTATAACTAAGATTTTGTGAAATAGATTTAATTCTGTGCCTATGTGCTCTAGTTACCATTACCTATTTAGAAACAATGTTCCTCGGGTAGCATGGCGATGTTTGGAATGTAAAAAAAGCGTTCTTTTTAATCATTTACAGATCGTGACTCTAAAATGATTAAATAATGACCTTGACTTAAAATTGTAAAAGTTACATAGGTATCTGGGTCATATCTGAACTATAAATAGGTACAGTTGTTACAATTTCCCATTAATCTTAGAAATATTCTAAGGTTAGGTAACTATCACACTTAGATGGGTATTTTTACAAAATTTCATAAGTAGCAAGTGTTTATTTATAATCATATAGGACAAAAACATCAATTTTTCTTAATAAAAAAAAGAAGAAAAACTAAATCAATCATTAATTAATTTGAATCATTGCTCCAGACGATAGGTTATTAGGCCTACGAAGGAAACGGTGGCGTGAGCGGACTCGAAATAGCTGTATACTTAATTTTAGCTTGCTTCATTCTCGCAGAAAATTAATGTAAAATAAAATTATAAAGCCTACTTTACGACGACAGTGGTATGGCGACATAACAAATTGCCCCATCTTTTGATAGTTTTAATTTTAATTAGCACAATACGTACAAATATTTGAATTTATAAATATATCTGGGTGTAATTTACATGTTAGGTACAAAACACTCTATACTTTTTTGGTACTAGATGGCGCTGCTCAATATGTTTAGAATTGTATGTTTATTTTATAAATTTATCAAATCCGCTAACGCTCATCACTTGCTTCGCAGTCTTAGGTTATGATTTTTGGCACTAAAATAAAATTATAACTCTCTGTACAATATTTACATACTTATTAACTACAATAATTCATTCTCGCCGAATTGGATAATATTACTTAGTTAACTAATATTTTTGTATCTATATTTTGTATGTGTATGCATGTACATATTTTTTTTATTGAATATATAACTTAGTAATTCACAGTGACAGATCGTTACCGAAACTCTAAGAAACAAAATTTCTGCGCCGTCTCAGTAAAATAAATCAATATCACCAATGTGTATAGTATCTAAGTACTTGTACCTACATTAGTTTACAATACCTGTTTAATATTCGATAAATTTTCTAGGTCCTCTGTAGGATTACAGAAGTTCAAATGACAGTTTTCGCTCTGTTATGTCATTGCTAGCAAATTTTACACATATCTATATATTTTTCTATTTTTTTTTGCGTACCCACTAAAATGTGGAAGTGAAAGTTAAGAATGTACATGAAGTAATCGCATTGAATTTATATTTACAATCAGGCATGCTAAATCACAAATTAAACTGTAATTTACATTGGCGCCAATTTAAAAGTTACAAAATACTAAAGTGAACAAAAAACCTATTAGAGAAATTAGAAAGATTATGCTGTATAAAAAACCAGTGGCTCGAAACGTGACAGAGTTAAAGAATTTAATCAAAATTAATTTGATTTTGTAAAAATATCGCTTAAATTAAATAAAAGGTTATTGGCAAATTGAGAATCCTCTCATTTTTTGAACGATACTTATAAATCCAAAATTTATTTTATTTAATTAAATGGCACATCATAATTAGCATATTCCTACTTAATAATAAAGTCTGATCTATCACTGATCACGCTAAAGAGTCCGTTTACTGACGTCCAGTTGGGTCAGTAATTTACGTCATAATATTTAAAATGCAAACTCGAGGACAATAGTGAATTAGCATTTGTGTAAGTGGGTGTATGACTAGTTACGGTTGCTGTAGACTTCATGCATAGGTCTATAGCCGTTTGGCGCAGCCGCTGACCAACCTTAGACTTCCTGCCAGCGCCGCGTCCAGAGAATCAATGGTCGGTACTAAAGTACGAGTTCTGCATGAGATAAAGTTTGTCTATTGGGTTCACAACGGCCCCTGTGCCTAAGTTTAGAGGCTCGTGAGCAGGATGAGTGGTGTGCGGATGAGAATGATGCTGCACTTCAAGGTTCTGAAGACTCATCGTGTCTGATGCACCCTCGTCGAGTTGGTCGAAGTTGCTCCCGTCAAGAGATATGTCTGAGCTACAGAAGCTGTCGCCAGAATGCGCTGGATAGTCTGAAAATATATTTATGAGAGTTAACAATCGGGAGTTCAGTGCCAGTTTTTTTACTCCCTCACACTATTATTACTACTACTCACAGATGGGTCATAATTTCAAAGTAAACGTAGACATAAAAAAATATTTGTTTCGGGGTAGTTAAAGGCATTTGTCGACTATTGTCGTTATGGTGAACGTAAGATTCGACTTACTTCCCTGATCTTAACAGAATTTATCAAAGTAACGGATGCATCTACTGCCGTCATTCGAATCATTTCGATTTATTATCGGTTGATCGTTCTCAGAAAGTTAGTAGGATTAAATCAACACAAAGTTTTTGGTGTCGGCCAAATTCAAACCTATGACTTTTATGATCTATATATTAGGATTGTATACCACTAGTCCACGACACTACCAATATTTGACATAACTCTACTTAAAATATTTGACTTGCGATTCTATATGAATGAACTTACCATCTGGAGAGTATGGTAGATTAGGATTAAGGGGCTGACTCGACGCAGAATACGATCCATCGAGTCCCAAGTAATTGCCGTGTTCGCTTGACGGCGACTCTTGTTTTATACTTTTCTCGTCTTTATCTTTTTCCTTCTCATTGTTCTTGTCTCCTTCTTGCTTGGCTTTCCTTTGGATCTTTTTCATCTTAGCTCTCTGATTTTGAAACCAGACTTGCACAACTCTTACGCTCAAGCCAGTGTCTTTGGCTAGTGCCTCTCGTACTTTACGGCAAGGCTTCGGACTCACTTCAAATGAAGCTTTGAATTGTCTTCTTTGTGCGGATGTTAGTATAGTCCGTGGTCGTTTCGGACCCCTTCGGCCGTCCCGCGGTCTTTCGGAATCATCGATTATCATGTCATCTTCCGCGTGCTGCATCAAATACATTTCTTTCTCGAAGTCCTGCCGGCAGAAGATCTGACCAGCCCTGATGACGTACTGCTCGCCTTTTTGTAACGGTTGACAGCACATCACACAAACGAAGCATTGTATGTGGAACACATACTGCTGGGCTCTCATGACCATCTCTTGTGGCAGAAGACGGTCGCCGCATCTTGTACACTTCACTCCGAATAATCTATGGGACAAAGAATAAAGCATAACACGTGGAGTTAATGGTATCGCACAGCATTTCGCTTGGCAGTTATTGCTTTGCAATAAAATTCGTATGAGCATCTAAGATTTTAAATAATATATGATTGCAGAATGTCGTTAGATTATTACCTATCATAATCGGGTTTGCAGTAAAGTTTCGCGTTTCTGGTGTAGCATGTGTGAGCGAGGGGACAGCCACAGACACAGCAGCTGAGGCAATGCTCGTGCCATGACAACTCTCCAACCCTCATGAGGTAGCGGTCCTGGATCTTCTGCCCACAGCCTTCGCATATCTCAACGATCTTCTCACGCTTGATGCTGGCGCTCAGTTCTGTGGAGAAGAAGTCTTGGATTAGTAGCATGTGGAAGGTCCAGGTATATGAACAAACTATCGCTTTGCAATATTATTAAAAATTATATAAGTAATAATATAATAATATTTATATTTATATACAGCGGAAGGTATATAAGTAAATGTAATAGAAGGTTACTTATTTTAAGTATTTTCAAGTAAGCTAATTTTTGAGAAAGGTATTAAAAATTTATACATCATCATCATCATATCAGCTTCTAACTAACCACTGCTGAATATAAGCCTCCCCCTTTAGGGGGTTTGCCAGTAGTTTCCACGCTTAGCAGGTGGATTGGCAATCGCAGTTAGGCTTTAGAGATGTTTTAAGAGGGACGCTACTGCCCATCCCTAGCCCTCCCTTAGTCGCCTTTTACGACACCCACGGGAAAGGAAGGGGTGGCCTATTCTTTGCCGGGAATACACGGCCAAAATAATATGCTCATTTAAATTATATACGTAAGTTAATACTGAAAAAATATACAAAAGTTAGTTTAAACATGTAATCCGTTTTAACAGAACATTAATGAAAATGTAAATAGACTAGTAATCAATTTAATGCTTACATGATAATTTCGACACAATTTTGTCATATTTTCATTAAATTCTATTGAAACAGAATATAGTTCGACATTTAATACACATACAAGCGACCTCAATTTTAATATTCGTAAAATTATTAGTGACAAATTATTAGACAACCCTATCCCAGTCAGGCATGTGTTCGCGTCACAGTCGCTCCTGACTAAGGATTACGAATTGATCCCGATACTAGTCGAGTTTTTTTCGATCCAATTACACGTATGTTAAACCGGTAGTTGTTATATTAAAATCTGTCCTTCATTCTTAATAATACTATAATTGTAAAAATTTTTCACCTTATGGAGACTTAATGATTTAACTAATCACTGTAAAATTGGGTACGTGTATATACAATTTTAAAGTGATGTGAATTTAAATGTGTTTAGATGGAGACCAGAGGGAGACTTTGTACAAAGTCGATTGCTTGGGTACCTCTGTCCCATTCGTGTTTCAATCGTGAAGCAATTGTGTTTGCATGGCTGTGTTTCGGTTTGAAGGGTGGGATATGGCGTGAATTTACTGGGTATAGAAGAATAACACCTGAGTCCTCAGGAATGGCAACGCATGGGTGGTATCATGGGTGAAGCAGTATACTCTGTTATGTCCATGGTACTGCTCATGTCTATAGGCGACGGTTACCACTTTCCATCAGGTGGGCCATCAGCTTGTTTGCCATTCTAAGTCGCATAAAAAAAAAGATGGATAAAGATATAGGCTAATTTTTATCCTGGTCTAGAAACATGTCGGTTTAGCGGACGACGACCATATAAACACAGGTAAAAAATCTTTAAGAAAAAAATATATAAGAAATTTTAATAAAAACAATAGAAGCTAAAACGATAATTTTTAGTATGTTTGTTTAGGTAACTTAAAAAATTGCGCTTTTTTTATTCAACTGTAGCAAATAAGCTGACGATCCACCTGATGGAAAATAATATATAATATGGACATAAAAGAGTTATACTGTTTCGCCCATGATATCCCCCATGCGTTGCCATGCCTGAGGATTAAGTATTATGATTCTGGACCCTGTAAATTCATTGCCATATCCCACCCTTCAAACCGATATACAGCTATGCAAACACAACTGCTTCACAGTAGAAAAATGAATAGGACATAGGTACCTAAGCAAACGACTTGTACAAAGTCTGCCTCTGGTAATTTTATTTATCTTGATATATCAGTTAGTCGTGGTTACATACTTTCACAATCCACATGTACGGAGTTGCGGGCAAGAGCTAGTCTTTATTATAAAATATAGACATCACCTTGCTATCGCACTGGTCAATTTATAATTTTCTGGGACCGCATGTAAATTATTTACAGAATTCATAAGAACTACGAATAATATCTATGTATTTACATAAGTAGGTCGTGTGGTCCCGGCATAGAATGAGCTACCCCTTCCTTTACCGTGGGTGTCGGAAGAGGCGACTAACAGAACTCAATTATCGAGGAAAGGACAGTAACGTCCCTCTTAAAACATCACCAAAGCCTATCTGCGGTTGCCAACCTGCCTGTTAGGGGGAAAGTGATTGTTAGTAATGGAGATTGAGAATCCCATTGCTAGCAATATATCCAACCAGGTCGACCTCCTCGTGATTCTCCCTGGAAACTATCATGGTTAATTCCTGATGTATTCATCATGATGGGCTAACTGGCCTGTTTTCATTCTCATTTGTCACCCTTCACTGGTGCTCCGCCAGCGTATTCTGTTAGCGCAGGCGGGGTTACCATTCCATTTTCACCCATCAAAAAAAACCTGCCTGCTAAGCATGGCAATTGCCAATTGCTACTCCTACTTCCTTCTTTCTGTTTTATAGTCGGTTGAAAAGAAGTTCACAATTCGGCTATATTTTTTGGTTGTTACCTTATATCTTCGTCAATTTTAAAATATTTTTTAATGGATGACAATGGTATGGTAACCCCGCCTACGCTAACGGTATTCGCTGACGGGGCACCAGTGAAGGATGATAGATGAGAATGAAAACAGGCCAGTTAGCCCATCATGATGAATTCATCAGGAATTAACCATGACAGTTTCCAGGGAGAACCGCGAGGAGGTCGACCTGGTTGGTTATATTGCTGGCAATGGGATTCTCAGTCTCCATTACTAACAATCCCTTTCCCCGCTATCTTCGTCAATTGTAATCTAATTTGGAAAGTATTTTTTTTTTTATCGGAAATGATGCGTTGACCAAAGCATAGGCCAGCCTTATTTTTTGCTTGGATACCTCTGTCCCATTCGTGTTTCAACCGTGAAGTAGTTGTGTTTGCATGATTGTGTTTCCGTTTAAAGGGTAAATTTACGCCATATCCCATATGACGTGAATTTACGAAGTTCCGAGAAATACGATTACCACTTTTTATCAGGTGGACTGTCAGCTTGTTTGCCATTCTTTGTTGTATAAAGAAAAGTATTCTGGTCGTCAGAGGTTTCCACCAGTCGGCGTGATATCTCTTTGAAAAGACTCATAGCCTCGGGGCCCCATGAGCCCAGAGTCTCATCTCCAATCGCCGAAAAAATAATATACATTTCCAAGGAACGAATATTTATGGCGCTTGATAGTCTCATGGTGTATTGTGGCAGCACCGGCCATTAGTTTAGATTTGAATTAAAATAACTGGTTTTACCATAATATAAGTCAATTTTTCTTTGAAAAAAAAATAACTATTCAAATGAATAACGTTGACAAAGATGAAGCCAATTGCTAAAACTATAGATAGAAATATTTACAGATACAATACCTAAAGACGGAATGGCGTTAAGCAGAAAATATCGTACGGAACGACGTCTCAACACGCTCTTAGACTGTACGGGGGTGGGGGGACAGCCCATTGGGAGTGGAGGGGCGTGCCCGGGTCACCCGGGTCACGGTGATCAAGCCGGGGAACAAAATGGAGTAACAGCCTGACGCTTAATCGATGTGGGGAGTCACGTAATGCGATGCGAGAATTTCGGTATCATATGACGCAAAAGCGAAAGTTGTGTCTGGTGCTTTTGGTAAAAGATAAGTGGCGTACGCGTTATTGGTAACGTGCGTTAGAAAATACATTTAACAAACTCAAATGTCGCGGCTTTGTCGTGTACGAATTAGGACAAAACCTGCAACAACATATAGGTATATTTTCCAAAAAAGCGTTATTTCTGAAATTCGTGACGAGACGTTGCGTAGATTCCTCTGGCTAGATCCACAGTGTAATGTTCGTCTCGATTCGATGTTTGTTCGAATCTGACCCGGTAAATTATTACCTGATGGCAGTTTCAATCGTCACAAAATTAAAATGAGAAAATAAAGTTAACCTCCTTTCGGGTTCTCAAAGTTGACTGGAAGAAATCCTTTCAAGGAATAGTTTGCTTGTTATTTTGTTTATAATCTAATATCTGTATTAAATGATTCTCATTACAACAATATAATGAGAATAATTTGTACAACACAATGTATAAACAAACAATAATACAAGCACACAAAATTCTGATGAATTATTTCATTAGTTTCATCTTGAGTATTTATCTACGTGTTTTATCAAGTATTTTACCATGGATTAACAAATAGAACCTATACTTATTCCATTTTCAAGGGCAAAGCCTTCAAAGGTCAATGTATTTTAAAAATCTTTTCTTATTAAAAATAGATATTTTAAAGAAATCTTTGTAATGTAATAAATTTGTAAAACGATGTCTGTACATGGGAAATATTTAGGAAAAACAAATATAAGGGATCTTAATAAAACCAATAGAAAGTGAAACAATCAATTTAAGACTTTGTTTGTCTGCATGTCTGTAAGTTTGTTTCAGTAACACGTAAAAACTACTGAATTAAATTGGATGTGGTTTCCGCAGTTGTATTCCTCAATGTCGAAAGTAAAATCTAGTATATATTTTATTTTAATACGCCATGTAAATGTAGTTAAATATGTAAACGAGTTAGGTACTGGATAAAAAACAAGGTAAAATTCAACTCGTAAGCTGTACGTAAAACAAAAATTCTGTTCATGCTATTTTATAATAATATAGTTATATTAAGGCAGAATTTTATGAATCAAAAATCGAAATTGACAAAAAATGCTGAGCTTTCTATCGTGTGGTCCCGGCATAGAATAGGCCACCCCTTCCTTTACCATGGATATCGTAAGGGGTGACTAAGGGAACTTAATAATTGAGAAATGTCACCAGCGTCCCTCTTAAAACGTCTCCAAATCCTAACAGCAGTTGTCGAACCACTTGCTAAGCGTCTTGGCAACTATTTTCAAGTAACTATTAATTGATAAAACTCCCGAATGGGCGAGTCTTATATTCAGCAGTGGACATTTAAGGGGTGATATAAATGTATCTATCTATTTATATGTATTTACTTATATATATTTTTATTTATTTATTTATACCTATTGGTCTTTTC